AGATAAGAAGAAGTTACTAGCTATATTCATGTAGACTAGAAATGCTCCTTGACTACACCTTAGTTGAAGAAAAGAAAAAATAGCTTCATTGTATTGGAAGAAAAATGGAAATCAACTTATAATAATATTATGTAATCCAATTTCAAACTATTAACACATTAAAACAGGTTTAGGGCAATAAAATATAGAAATTGAAAGTGACACCAAAAACTAGAAAAACAAATGACAATAAAAACAAAGAACGACATTTAACTTACTGAACAAAGCAACACTGCACTGATTGAAGTCCAATGAGAATCCAAGCTGAGACAGAATCGCCTGATGACACCCATGCATACGAGCTTCCAAAAAAACGACCGGCAAACCTGTGGATATGCAAGCCGAATTCAGGGGCATAACTACTAAAATAAATTTTGTGGCCAAAAAAATCGAATTGACGATCCTCAAAGTAGTTCCGTTAATAACAGTACAAGAATGAGCTGCCAGCGCAGACGAACTTTCATAGCGCCCCCGCCCTGGTACCAGAATCTTCCCCCAGAAAGATGCAAACACTGAATAATCGACCCGATCCTTAAAAATATCATAAAATTTCACTAAAGAAAAATAAAAAAGAACAAATAAATACGCAACGCAAAAAATGCAAAAGACAAAAAAACCAATATCCAAGCGAAGTCACCGATAATTAAGAAAGAACAATGATAATACCACTCCGTATATGAAAATACTCATTTGTACACGTCATGACACTTCACCGCAGATCAAATGTACCTTATGCACCCTTTAGAAAGAGATTGTGGCCCTTCAGGGTTTTATCTTACAACAACATTTACCGGATCCCTCACAAACACAAATATTTTAAAAGTTCAAACTAGGCCATATTTTTTATGTACGAAACAGAAATGAAGCTGAAGCAATCAGAGGAAAACATTAAAAAATGTTCCAACCTAAAAATCTAGTCCATTTTTTCGTTCCCCTCTAACTCTTCCCCATCTTAACAGCATTCATTCCTATGCAAAGAAAATAATGTAAAAGAATCCTCCGAGCTTTGTTGAAATCACGGGAAAGGATAGTAAAACTGCACAGTTAGAAAAGGAAAAATATTTTTTTTTTTTTTTGAAACCAAATCACTTGACATTTCTATTTTGGTGATCATAGAGTGTTGAAAAATTCAGTTTAAAAAACATCTTTTTCTCATGAGCAGTAACCAAATAGGGCATTTTCAAATGTACATACATGCAGAAAAAAGTGATCGTGGTCTATAAAACTTCAACAAAATCACAACAGTAACCTTGTTCGATGTGCGCAAAACCACCAGTTACTGAAGTTTATAAATCAAGAAGTAAAATTTTTCAGATATGAGAAAGATGACCAAGAAAAAACAAAAAAGTAAAAAAAAATACGTTTTTTAAATTATTTAAGTAGAAACTCGTGGTATGACAACGACGACAACGATAATGTCAAGTTATCGGTCGTCAACAACAATTACATCAGTACCACCAAAAATTGTTAAGGTAGAAATAATTTATCAGGCATAAAATGGTACTGTAAACATCCTTAAAAAAACTTCAAAAAATTAACCAAAGTTTCACCTTTGTTTTATACAGTTTTTCCCTTTTTTTT